TTTGTGCAAAGCGACATGTGAAGGCTGCATTCCCTCAGTTCACAGGAGCTCCTGGCCCTGCAAACCTTCCATGTGTCACCTAGTACTGCCTGTTGGGACAAGCTGGTCCTGGCAGTGTAGCCAATGCACCTGGGCACCACGGGAACCTAGGAAGGACCACTGGAAATTTTAACTTGAGAAGGCAATGAATGTGATATCCAGGAGCTGAGCAGGGTAGTACGTGGAGGAGAGAACCAAGTCCTATGGACAGACCTAGAACCACAAAGCTAATTGTCAGAACAGCAGAAAGCCTAGAGGCCTCTTGTGCCTTGCTGTTCAAACAGTGGTTTGTGGACAGCATATCTGTGTCTCCTGATAACTCATTAGAAACTCAGCATCTCAGTTCTCACCGCAGACCTGCTGACTAAAGTCTGCACTTTAATAAGACCACCACGTGATTTTCTGCAGTTAAAGAGCAAGTTTGAGAAGCACTGATCTAATCCAGGGCTTTCGGTTTTACTGAAACATGCTACAGTGCGGCCAGCAGAGGGCAGTACTGCAGCGCTGCCGAGCATGCTGAGTAACTACATGGAAAAACTTGTCCTCAGACTGCAGTTCATGGTGAGAACTTTGGGCTAATGTTGGAATATTTTCTTTGCACAAAGACAAATGGCTCAAATCATCCCATTAGTTGTTTATGTATAGGAAAACAAAGGAGGGGTTTGAGAACACAAGAGAATCAGGCGTGGTCCCTGTGTTAGAATTCCCAGACAAAGTTAGGGTATCAGGTGTCCCTAAGGCAAACCTGGACTCACCAGCACATGACCCGTGCATTCAAACAGTGCCCTATGCTCAGAAGGGTGCTACACTTGGGTTAGTAGTCTGCTGCCACAATCTTGAAATTCTTAACAATTTTATCCTTCAACTTGTGTATTTAAGTCAACTCCATTGAGACAATGGAACACGCACATGAGCAGAGAAAATGTGTGCAGTATGCACGTCAATCATGGCTCCTCGTTGCCCCATTCACCTGTAGCATTCATGGTACCCCATAAGTACAGGGTCCGGTGGACCCATGATGTATGGGGGGGTGGGTTTCAGTGAGAGTCAAAGTGAGTATAAAGAAAGTATGTTATGGAAGCTACTGTCTTCCATAGAGTGTTGGTAGAGTGTGTGTGCATCAAGAAGTAAAATAAAAACAGTTAAGTTAGCATTGTACAGTATTTCCACTTTTCTGGTAAGAAAATACACATGCATGTCCAAGCTACAGAATATGGATTGAGTACTTTCAAGGATTCCACATACAAATTAAATGTTCTTGCATTTCATTCAAAACTGACATTGCACAAAATAAGCAGTGAAATTCATAATAGTACTTTAGAATTAAAAATTTTTTTACTCAAAACATTAAACAGCAAATAAACAAAGATATCCCATCCCATGTAGAGAGGGGCTGTGGGGGAAAGGGAAAAGCTTTGTTTTAATACATTTCATGGCACTTTTTTCCTGCTTTTTGAACAAAAGTGTTCCACATTTTTATTTTGCACTGAGCCCCACAAATTATGTATCTTGCACTCCCTCGAGGGATGCGAGAGGCAGGGGACAATTGCTGCCCGCGACCTAGGCTGTCTAAGGTGGGATTGGTTCATGCTTCGAGTACCTAGAACCAACAGAAGCATGGTGCTCAGAGAGGTGTGCGTGTGCCTCAGCAGCTGAGCAAAATGCTGACCTGAGATACACAGTGACATTTCTTTCCTCCTACTGCATCCCTCAGAAATCCTCTTTTATTCCACTCGTGCGTGTGCGTGTGCGTGTGTGTGTGTTTCCCCCAAGCAAACCTCCTCTGCTGCCAAGAAAGAGTGAGGGAAAAGCGAAGGACACCGTGTACAGAAAGAAAACCTGGATGTCTGATTGAAGGATGCACGCTGATAAAAGGTGAGTTCGCGGTGGGACTGCAGGCCTGTAGTTCCTCAGCTTGCTCTGCAGCCCTGCAGCACTGCCCTCTGCTGGCCCCATTGTAGCATGTTTCAGTAAAACCGAAAGCCCTGGATTAGATCAGTGCTTCTCAAACTTGCATTTTAACTGCAGAAAATCACGTGGTGGTCTTGTTGAAATGCTGACTTTAGTCAGTAGGTCAGGGGTGGGAACTGAGATCCTGCATTTCTAACGAGTTATCGGGAGACACAGATACAGCTGTCCACACGCCACTGAAGGAGAGAGTAGGTATTTTAGGAAGACTGGCTGTCTTGTGAGAAAACACAAAACCCACACACTCATTTTTCTTTCCTTTTTTATTTATTTATTTATTTATTTATTTATTTATTTATTTATCCTCACCCGGGGACATTTTTCCATTTTTTGTTCAGATAGAGCTGGAGGGAGAGAGAGGAAGAGAGAGAGAGAGAAACATCGATGTGAAGGGACACATCCAGTGGCTGCCACCCGGACGACCAACCAGGGCCGGGGACAAACTGCAACCGAGGTACATGCCCTTAGCGGGAACCGAACCCGGGTCTCTCTGTACCACAGGCCGACGCTCCAACCGCTGAGCCAAACCGGCCAGGGCTTTCTTTCCTTTCTTAAACAGGTATGTTTTTGTTGATTTTTTAGAGAGGGAGAAAAGGAGAGAGATAGAAACATCAATTGGCTGCCTCCTGCACACCCCCTACTGAGGATCGAACCCACAACCTGGGCATGTGCCCTGACTGCGAATTGAACTGGGATCTCTCAGTCCAGGGGAACATGCTCAATTCACTGAGCCACACCAGCTGGACAAACCCAAACATTCTTATCATGCATGTCCAATGCAGACCAGGCAGCTGCCTTCTAACTGATGGGCTCCTTGCATTACATGGCTCCACTGCTGTGTCCCTCACTTTCTGTCATAGCACTTCCACTGACTTTCTATTGGCTAAAACCAGACACATGGTTCCAGCTAGATGAAAGCGAACTAGGAAAAGGAGAATTTCTATTGGCCCATGTATTAGGGTTCTCCAGACAAACAGACCAATGAGACAGAGAGAGAGAGAGAGAGAGAGAGAGATATTATAAGAAATTGGCTCATGCAGTTATAGAGGCTTACAAGTCCCAAGATCTGAGTGGGGAAGTGAGGGGACCCAGGAGAGTCGACGGACGGTGTAGTTCTAGTCCAAGTCCGAAGGCAGGAAAAACCAAATGTCCCAGTTTGAAGGCAGTCGGGCAGGAGGAGTTTACCCATACGTGCAGGAGGGCGAGCCTTTTTGTCCTATTCAGGTCTACAACTGATGGGATGAGGCCACCCCCACTGGAGAGGGTAATCAGCTTTATTGAGTCTATTAATTCAGATGTTTACCTCACACAGAAATGCCCTCACAGATACACCCAGAGTAATATTTGACCAAATGTCTGGGTATCCCCAAAGCCCTGTCAAGTTGACACTTAACATTAACCATCACAGCCCAGGAGAAAAATGAAATTTGGTGAAGACAAAGTATTGTCTCTGCCACAGAGGACTGGATATGGGGATATGGGGATATGGGGAAGAATAGTCTGGTGTCAAGGGAACATTGTGTGTGGCGGTGCTGTCCTTGAAGGGGAAGCCTATCCATTAGTGACCCTCTTAGCTCCAGGCTTATAAAGAGCCTTATAGGAGAAAAACATACAACAAAAATTACAGCCCTGGCTGGTCGCTCAGTGGTTAGAGCGTCAGCCCACAGACCAGAGAGACCTGGGTTTGGTTCCCACTTAGGGCATTTACCTCACTTACAGTTTGTCCACGGCCCTGGTTGGGGTCGAGTGGGTGGCAATCACTCAATGTGTCTCTCTCACATCGATGTTTCTCTCTCTATCTCTCTCTCTTCCTCCCTCTCTCCCTCCTGCTCTATCTGAAGATAAATGCAAAAATGTCCTCGGGTGAGGATTAAAAAAAAATTACAATTATTTGTCAGTGCTGGGCCTGGGCATTTCTGCCTTTATATAATGAAAAACCCTGGTGAGAATATTTGATGGTTTTATTGGATCCAATGACAGCTAGCACTTGAAGAGTTGCCCACTCAGAACTGACTTGCTCCTGACTCCATATTCCCAGGAAACCTAATAAATAGGTTCCTCTAAGGAGCCAGGAAGGAGGCTAGAACTCAGTGAGGGGGAAGTCTGGGAGTGCTGCAACCCACGGAGGTCTGACATAGATGTGGGGGCAAGAGTCAGAAATAGCACAAATTAACTCCTTGGCCACATAGGCGCTGATACAAAGGAACCTACGGTCCTGGCTCTTCCCCTGCGTATCTTGATGTTTCAGTTTGCCCAGGTGATAGAGCTGGCACGGTCGGACAGATCTGGGGCAACTTCAGATCTGACAATAATATCAAATGCTGATTTAAGCAAGAGAACATTGTATAGTATAATCACACTTTCAGTGGAAAAATATGCATGTGTATTTATATATGCGTGTTGGAAAACAACTAGGGGATATAAAATAAAATGTTATTCCTGATTTTGATTTTCATGCTTAGTGGTTTTATTTTTGCAAAGTGATTTGTAATCATTTTTATTAGTTATTCTACATTGAGATTTAGAATGACATGTCATAAAGAAAATCCTTCATATTTGAGAAAGGAGACTATTCCCACCTAGCACTTGTCTAAATAGCATAATTATGGCTACACTGGCCATGAATTGTTCAGTATTTTTCTTTTTCTTAAAAAAAAGTATGTTTTTATTGATTTATTTTTAGACACAGAGGAAGGGAGAGAGAGATGGAAACATCAATGTGAGAGAGAGGGAAACATCGATCAGCTGCCTCCTGCACGTCCCCTACTGGAGATGGAGCCCACAACCTGTGCATGTGGTTGACCATGAACTGAACCAGGACCAGTTCAACCCACAATTATGGAAGGTCTACAAACCCGAATTATGAAATTTCACTTATTTTTTCTCTTCTTTATTATATTATTTTTAAACTGAATTTATTGGAGTGACATTGGTTAATAAAATAATATAGGTTTCAAGTATACAATTCAGTAGTACATCATCTGTATATTGTATTGTTATGTTCAGCACCCTAAATCAAGTCTCCTTCCATCACCATTTATCCCTCATTTATCTCCCCCAACCCCTTCTTTTTCTCTGGTGATCACCATACTATAGTCATGATCTTTTAAAAGTTAATCTGCAAATCTTTATAGATGTTGTAACACACTTTCTCCATCCCATAGAGGCAGAGCTTCTGTCTAGATTAAGAGCATGGTTGTTGATGAAGGCAAGATCCTGCGGTCTTCAAGTTTCACCTTTCAGTTGGCAGAGTCTGTCTCAGATCCATAGGAGACCAACAATGGTTGGTATCATGACCACTAGGAACTCTGCAGTCCAAGCTACTCCAGAGGATTGGGCTGAAAGGACAAGAGAATGCCAAACATTTAGTTGTCTTGATTACTGCATTGACAAGGGATGGGGTTGTGTCATGGGAGCAGGACATGGAGTGTTTCTTCCCTGAATCTAGTCCCAGTGTGCCTGAGACATCCTCATCCCAGTCTGACTCAATATCCCCAGATGTAAAGTCTAAAGAGTGCAGAAACCTATTAACTATCACTGCCTCAGCTGAGTCCTTTGCTCACGTCACCCCCTCCAACAGACAGCACTGAGGTAGGACCCAGCTCCAGGTGTAAACGGATGGCCATATAATGCTATGCAAAGCTGATCTTAGGGAAGGAAGGACTACTTCTTCCTGTTTCTCCACCCCATTAACCATCTGCACCAACAAGAAGGAATAGAGAGGGAAAGGACAGACAGGGAGGGAAGGGAGTAAACACAGAGTAAGAGAGGAGAAGAGAGGGGGAGGAGAAGAAGAAAGTACAAAATAACAAGAAAAAGAAAATGAGTGATAAAATAGGGAAGGGAGATTAGGGATATTTTTCTAGGATAATTTGGGTGGCTAAAAAGTGACAAGACAGGTTTAGCCCTTCAAAAAAATGTATGTATTATTTTTTTTCATTCAGTTGTTCTTTTATTTATTTTTATTTTATTATTTTTTTATTATTTTATTTTATTTTATTTTTGTTACAGATGTTTCTCCTTTTTTTCCCCATTGACACCCTCCTCCACACCCTCCCCACCCCATCCCTGGCTTTGTTGTCCATGTCCATTGGTTATGTGTACATGCATATAAGTTTTGTGGTTCATCTCTTCCCTCCCCCCACTACCCCCTCTTCTGAGGGATGTCAGTCTGTACCCTACTTCCATGTCTCTGGGTCTACCCTATTCCTCAGACTGTTATGTTCATTATATTCCACAAATAAGTGAGATCATGTGGTATTTGTCTTTTTCTGCTTGGCTTGTTTCGCTTAGGATAATACTTTTCAGGTCCCTCCATGTCATTTCAAAGAATACAAGATCTTTCTTTCTTACAGCTGCATAGTACTCCATTGTATATATGTACCACAGCTTTTGTTATTCATTTGTCTACTGATGGACACTTGGGCTGTTTCCAGATCTTAGCTATTGTAAATAGGGCTGCTATGAACATGGGAATACATATATTCTTTCTGATTGGTGTTTCAGACTTCTTAGGATATATTCCTAAAAGTGGGATCACTGAGTCAAATGGCAGTTCAATTTTTAATTTTTTGAGGTAACACCATATTGTTTTCCATAGCGGCTGCACCAGTCTGCATTCCCACCAGCAGTGTACTAGAGTCCCCTTTTCTCCACACCCTCGCCAACACTTGTTGTTTGATGATTTGTTGATGGAGGCCATTCTGACAGTTGTGAGGTGATATCTCATTGTTGTTTTACTTTGCATCTCTCTGATGATTAGTGATGTTGAGCATTTCTTCACATGTCTCTTGACCATTTGTATGTCCTGTTTGGAGAGGTGTCTATTCAGCTCCTCTGCCCATTTTTTAACTGGGTTCTTTGTCTTCCTTTTGTTGAGTTGTATGAGGACTCTATATATTTTGGAAATTAATCCCTTATCTGATACATCATTGGCAAAGATGTTCTCCCATATAGGGTTACCTTTCCATTTTGATGGTTGTTTCCCTTGCTGTGCAGGAGCTTTTTATTTTGATGTAGTCCCACGTATTCATTTTCTCCTTTGTTTCTGTTGCCTTAGGTGATGTATCAGTGAAAATTCTGCTGCGTATGATGTCCGAAATTTTGCCGCCTAATTTTCTTCTAAAATTTTTATGGATTCACAGATCACATTTAAGTCTTTTATTCATTTTGAGTTTATTTTTGTGTATGGTGTAAGTTGATGGACTAGTTTCATTTTATTGCATGTAGTTGTCCAATTTTCCCAACACCATTTATTAAAGAGGCTGTCTTTACTCCACTGTATGCTCTTGCCTCTTTTGTCAAATATTAATTGAGCATAATGTCTTGGGTCCATTTCTGAGTTCTCTGTTCTGTTCCACTGGTCTATATGCCTGTTCTTGTGCCAGTACCAGGCTGTTTTGATTACAGTAGCTTTATAGTATAACCTGATATCTGGTATTGTGATCCCACCTACTTTGTCCTTCCTTTTTTTTTTTTTATCTTCACCCGAGGATATTATTTCATTTTTTGTTCAGATAGAGTGGGAGGGAGAGAGAGGAAGAGAGAGAGAGAGGGAGAGAGAGAGAGAAACATCAATGTGAAAGGAACACATCGAGTGGCTGCCTCCCGCATGACCCAACCAGGGCCAGGGCAAACTGCAACCAAGGTACATGCCCTTAGCGGGAACTGAACATGGGTCTCTCTGGACTGCAGGCCAATGCTCAAACCGCTGAGCCAAATCAGCCAGGGCTGTCCTTCCTTTTCAACATTGCTGTGGCTATTCGGGGTCTTTTTTGGTTCCATATAAACTTTTGAAATATTTGTTCTAGTTCTGTGAAATATGTTGTTAGATTTTGATGGGGATTGCATTGAATCTGTAGATTGCTTTTGGTAGTATGGACATTTTAATGATGTTAATTCTTCCAACTCATAAACAAGGTATGTGCTTCCACTTTTTTATATTTTCCTCTATTTCTTTTTTCAATGACCTGTAGTTTTCGGCAAATAGGTTCTTTACGTCTTTGGTTAAGTTTATTCCTAGGTATCTTAGTTTTTCTGCTGTGATGGTAAATCGGATTGTTTTTTCAGTTTCTCTTACTGTGAGTTCATTATTAGTGTATAAGAATGCCACCGATTTCTTGATGTTTATTTTGTATCCTGCTACTTTGCCAAATTCATTTATTAAGTCTAATAGATTTTTGATGGAGTCTTTAGGGTTTTCTATGTATAATATCATGTAATCCGGAAAAAATGACAGTTTCACTTTCTCCTTTCCAATTTCACTTTCTCCTTTCCAATTTGGATCCCTTTTATTTTTACTTCATGTTTGATTGCTGTGGCTAAGACGTCCAGTACTATGTTAAATAAGAGTAGTGAAAGTGGGCATCCCTGTCTTGTTCCTGTTCTTAAGGGAAATGCTTTTAGTTTCTGCCCATTGAGTATGATGTTGGCTGTAGGTCTTTCATATATGGCCTTTATTATGTTGTGATATGATCCCTCTATTCCCACATTGCTGAGCATTTTTATCAGAAACGGATGCTGGATTTTGTCGAAGGCTTTTTCGGCATCTATTGATATGATCATGTGGTTTTTCTTCCTCATTTTATTTATGTGATATATCACATTTATTGATTTAAAAATATTGTACCAGCCTTGCATCCCTGGGATGAATCCCACGTGGTCATGGAGAATAAACTTTTTGATGTATTGCTGGATTCAATTTGCTAGTATTTTGTTCAGGATTTTGGCATCTATGTTCATCAGGGATATTGGCCTATAGTTTTCTGTCTTTGTAGTGTCTTTTTCTGGTTTTGGAATTAGAATTATGCTGACCTCATAGAATGAGTTTGGAAGTCTTCCTTCTTCTTGAATTTTTAAAAATAGTCTGAGGGAAATAGGTATTAGTTCTTCTTTGCATGTGCAGTAAAATTCCCCTGTGAAGCCATCCGGGCCTGGGCTTTTGTTTGCTGGGAGAGTCTTGATTACATCTTCAATTTCTTTTTTGTTATTGGTCTGTTCAAGTTTTCTATCTCCTCCTGGTTCAGTTTTGGGAGACTATGTGTTTCTCGAAATTTGTCCATTTTACTTAGATTGTTGAATTTGTTGCCATATAATTTTTGATAGTAGTTGTTAAGGATGTTTTGTATTTCTGTGGTGTCAGTTGTTACTTCTCCTCTTTCATTTCTGATTTTGTGTATGTGGGTTCTCTCTCTTTGTTTCTTGATGAGTCTAGCTAAGGGTCCATCAATCTTGTTTATCTTTTCAAAAAACCAGCTCTTTGTTTCCTTGATCCTTTGAATTTTTTTTTTTTTTTTTGGTGTCTATGTTATTTATTTCTGCTTTGATCTTTACTATTTCCTTCTTTCTACTTGCTCTGGGGGTTTCTCTTTGTTTGCTTTCTAGTTCTTTAAGTTGTGAGGTTAGATAGTCTATTAGAAATTTTTCTTGTTTCTTCAGGTAGGCCTGTAGTGCTATGAACTTCCCTCTCAGAACCGCTTTTGCTGCATCCCATAGATTTTGTGTTGTTGTGTGTTCATTTTCATTGGTTTCCAAGAAGTTTTCAATTTCTTCCTTGATCTCCTCAGTAACCCATTTCTTGTTTAATAACATGCTACTTACCCTCCATGTGTTCTAATGCCTTTGCAGGTTTTTTATTTCAATTGATTTCTAGTTTCATGCCATTGTGATCTGAGAAGATTCTTGATATGACTTCAATCTTCTTGAACTTGTAGAGACTTAGTTTGTGCCCTAACATGTGGTCTATCTTTGAGAATGTCCCATGTGCACTTGAAAAGAATGTGAATTCTGCAGTTTTGGAGTGTAATTCTCTGTAAATATCTATGAAATCCATTTTGTCTAGTGCTTCATTTAGAGTCTCTATTTCCTTGCTAATTTTTTGTCTAGAGGATCTATCCAATGATGTCAGTGGGGTGTTGAAGACCCCTGCTATGATTATGTTGCTGTCAATTTCTCCTTTGAAGTCCTCCAGAAGATTTTTAATATATGTTGGTACTCCTATATTGGGTGCATATATGTTTATCAAGGTTATATCTTCCTGTTGGATAGATTCTTTCAATATTATGTAGTGATCTTCTTTGTCTCTAGTTATGGCCCTTATTTTGAAATCTGTTTTATCAGATATGAGTACTGCTATCCCAGCTTTTTTTTCCTTTCCATTTGCTTGGAAAAGTTTTTTCCATCCCTTCACTTTCAAACTATGTGAGTCTTTTATTGTGAGGTGGGTCTTTTGTAAACAACATATAGATGAGTCATGCTTTCTTATCCAATCAGCTACTCTATGTCTTTTTTTTTTTATCCTCACCCGAGGACATTTTTCCACTTTTTGTTCAGGTAGAGTGGGAGGGAGAGAGAGGAACAGAGAGAGAGAGAGAGAGAGAAACATCGATGTGAAAGGAACACATTGAGTGGCTGCCACCCGCACAACCGACCATGGCTGGGGACAAACCGCAACCGAGGTACGTGCCCTTAGCGGGAACCGAACCCAGGTCTCTCAGGACCGCAGGCCGACGCTCTAACTGCTGAGCCAAACCGGCCAGGGCTCTATGTCTTTTTATTGGAGTATTCAATCCATTTACATTTAAGGTGATTATTGATATATACTTATTTATTGCCATTTTTGTTCTTTGGTGCTAATGTATTCCCTTTGCCTTTTTTTTTTTTGGTCTGGAAAGCTCTTTATTTGACCTTCTATTCTGAATGATAGCCTTGCTGGGTAGAATAATCTTGGATTCAGATCCTTGTTTTTTATTACTTTGATTACTTCATGCCACTCCCTTCTGGCCTGTAGTGTTTCTGTTGAGAAGTCAGCTGAGAGCCTTATGGGGGTTCCTTTGTAGGTAACCTGTTGCTTATTTCTTGCTGCCTTTAGGATTCTCTCTTTGTCTTTAATTTTTGGCATTTTAATGACTATGGGTTTTGGTGTGGGCCTGTTTGGGTTCTTCTTACTTGGGGCTCTCTGTGCTTCTTGAACCTGAATGCCTTCTTCCTTCACCAAATTAGAGAAGTTTTTTTGTCACTATTTCTTTAAATATATTCTCTAATCCTTGCTCATTTTATTCTTCTTTGGGGACTCCTATGATGCAAATGTTATTATGTTTCCAGTTGTCCCACAGTTCTCTTAAGCTGTCTTCCTGTTTTAAAATTTTTTTTTCCTTTGGTTTTCTGATTGGTTGATTTTTTGTACTCTGTCTTCTAATTCATTGATCCGGTCCTCAGCTTCCTCTTCTCTGCTATTTAGACCTTCCAATGTGTTCTTATTTCTGATATGTCATTCTTCATTTCTTCTTGGTGGTTTTTAATTTCCAGTTGGTTGATTTTCAACATTTCTATGTTTTTACTCATGGTGTTTATGTCCTTACTCATGCTGTTGAGCTCCCTCAAGATCATGGCTCTGAATTCTAGCTCTGTTAACTTGCTTAACTGCACCTCATTTATCTCATCTTTGGTAGAGGTCTCTTGTTCTTTTATTTGGCATTTGTTTCTTTGTTTCTCTATTTTAACTATCTCTATGGGCTTTGGAGCCTGCCAAATTTTCCCTGTGGGTGTTGGTGTTCTGCTGTTTGTGGCTCCTTCTACTAGGTTTAGATGAGCGTGGGATGACCCACGTTAAACATCACTGTCAAGTCTTACTTATCTGGGCAGAGTTGCAAGCCCAGAAATGGTTCAGTTATTCTCTAGTTTTTTTGCATGGAGGCTAGTAGTCATGGTTACTTGAAGAGTCTTGGGTTCTCAGTTGAATGAAAATCACCCTCAGGTGTTCAGCATAAGGAGATTTCCCAAGGGTGGAGCAGATGGTGGTTGTTAATGAGCCTCAATTTGCATTTCAATGGCCACCCAGTGGGGTTGAATCTCCAAGGGATGGGCTGCTGCCTCTCTCCAGAGCCCTGGTAAGGAGTAAGATGACCACCATCTTGTGTGGCCGCAACTCAACAAGAGCTCTGAGCACCCTCCTAAGCCTGAGTGTCCCCACACAGTTCCAGTCCAGTCTGCCCTCCCTCTGCCAGAGCCCAAGGTGAGTGGCTGTGGCTATTTTAGCGCTTTGTACCAGCTTTCTGAGCTGTGGAGTTGCTTGGGAGTTTAACTCAAGGGCGCTGCTCACAGCTAAGACCCCTGCTGTCAATGGGCTCCCAGCCCCCCTCTCACACCTCTGCAATCCTACCAGGATTGAATTAGTGTCCCTGGTTATATGGTCTTCGCAAGCTGCTTTTCTGTTGCCTTTTCCCTGACAATTTGTCTTTATTTTAGTTGTAATTCCAGTTTGGTCCTGGGAGATGGTCTGTGTAGCTTCCATTCACACTGACGCCATTTTGGAATCTCAAATGTATGTATTATTGTTTTCATGCTCTATGCAAATGAGCAGTCACCCTCATTTTATAAAGAACAGAAACTGTGTGTTTTCCTTTTTCTAGATCTCAGGATATGGTGTTAATATAAAGGTGGTGCTGAAACTGCCCAGTCAACTTGTGGTCTCAATATCAGACACCAAATTTCATATTGAGTCTGAGATGACAGAAAAGCAGTGAATATGAGGAGACTAGAAGAGACATGACCAATTAGTTGGGAAGAATAGAGAAGAGCATACAGTTTGCATAGTCCACCTGTAGCAACAGAGATAAAGAAATCAGTACAGGTTGGAGAGTAGAGTGGTTCCAAGAAGACCATGAAAGAGCAATGTCCTTGGGGGCCATGGTCCCTGATGACTGGGCATGACAGGGATCTCAGGTAAATGTTGGCATCACAGGTATGAGTTATTCTAGAAAGATGCACACAAGGGCTCACATATATGATTTCAGGGATGTGGAGAGTAAGAGAGACTTGAATGTTGGTGATAGTGATCCCTGTTTATTAATGAGGCCCCCAAACACCTACTGCCTCTCAAATTGAAGGGACTGGGCCTAATTTAGTTACCATTCACTGAAGATTGGTCAGACACTATGCTAGATTATTTTTATTGTCTCATTCAATCCTTACAACAACATGAGATTAGAACTAATATTTTGTCTGTTATTTAAGAGGGAAATGACTTAGAGAAGTAAGTGCTTATCTAGTAAGTGACATTCCCAGAATTAATTCCAGGTGTCTGACTCCAAAACCTATGAACTTGATACCCGATCTTAGCTACTCCTCTATAAGATCTGTGTAGGCTTGATAGAGATCCAGGAATGATGCTCCACTAAGTGCGTAGATACTCCCAGGAGACAGAGGAATCTGAAACATAAAACCTAGAATTTCCCTGCCTAAATTCCTCAAGGAGCACACAGCTGGAGAGAGCAGAGAGTCTCTACCTTAGGTGAGAGACTGGTCATTACTGTTTACTACTCGTTCTCACTGATGATAATCTCTTTGGCCCTTCTTTTGTTGATTTAGGCTGTCTATCAGAAACCCCTCAATGCACCTACTCAACAATGTGTGGCCTGCTTTCCTACTTGTACTTTTTCTCTCTGCTACCCTGATACCTCAGATTGTCCTACAATTACTCTGACCTGGGATTCTAGGACTGTTAGGGCAGGCGAGGAGAGGGGACATCCTGTGCATCTACCCTTTGAAGTAAGGACACTGATCTCCACAAAGGTGAGGTGGGTTCACTGGGGGTGTTAGCAGAGCCATGAGTAGAACCTGAGTCTCCCAGATGCCTTTGTGATTCTCCACCAAATTCTGTGCCAGAAGGCTGAATAGGATCCTCACACCTTTCTTCATTCAAGAGAAAACTAGTGACCTTAAACCTACCTCAGTTCCCTTGGGAATATTTCTTACCCAGTTGACAGGCTGAAGTGAAGGAGATGGTATCATTGTTGTCACTCACAGGATTTCTGACTTGACACGTGTAAAACTTGGAGTAGTTTTCTGGCATAACAGTGATTTCAAGTGCATTACGCTGGAGATTTTCTGGAAGGAGTCCTGAGTCCCCATACCAGGTGCAGTTGACAGGCTGATCCAGGATTACACATAAAAGGATCAGATGACAGCTATTGTTCACTTTCTGTATCTTCTTAATTTTTATGACAGGCTTAGGTACAGGATCTGAAGATGAGGAGAATATTATAAGATGAGACAATGGATTTATGCATTTATGAGGCATTCATTTTATGAGGGTTTGGTCAACAATGTACAAAGGAAGCTATGAGGTACACATACTGTGGGAATTGGAGTCATGAAGAAGAAGATCCTATAGAGGGAACCAGTCAGCAACTTTGCCCTCTGGGAGGATTTCAGACTGGAAGACCTTCTCCTCGAAGTGAAGCTAAGCAGGATTCAAGATGAGGAGTCATGCACCCATAAACAAAATGGGTTTATGACTGTCTGTGGGCCAGACAGAACAGCAGAGTGTTGGCAGAGAGATCTGCTAGGGTCAGAGTTGGTATCCCAGCTCTTTGAACTGCTTAGGGCTCCTTCTCTAGCAATGGCCCTCAATTGGCACCTTGGCCTGTTGTCTTTCAAAGACTTTTGAACTCATATTCAGCAAGATTCCTGGGATAAGAGATACTGCCCTGCACATGGCAAAGCCCCTTTTTGAACTCTGACAGAGCTACATGAAGTTCTTCATGTAATCCCTGTACCTGTCAGCAGTGACCAACAGCCTTGTTTCTGTTAACTTTGGTATTTCAGTGTCTAGTACAGTGCCTGTCACATAGTAGGTATTCAGTAAGTATCTGATGAACAGATAGATGGATGAATGAATGGATGGATGATGGATGGATGGATGGATGGATGGATGGATGGAGCAGTTATGAGATAGAAAGGACAAAACACTAGCTTTGGATTGAGACCAGCCAGGATCCTGGACAAGGTAATTTATACTTTGAATTTTCTTCTCATTTGTAAAATGGCATTGCCCATAGGAGGTGCTCTCTGCAGACTGTAAGTGTTATATGCATGCTGAAGGTCACATCATTACCACTGCTGCTGTCCTGCTACCAGACAAGAAAAGGTAATCCCAACATCTGCTCCTTCCTTTGCTAGGGTCACTTTACTTGAAATCCTCTGAGGTCTTTTCATTCTAGTCAAGGGTAAACCATCTGCAAAATCAGTGAAGCTCAGATGTCACAGGATTAAAATATGGCAGAGAATTGAGCAGATCAGAGCTTGCCTCTGGCTTGTGTGTGCAGGGGCAAAGGGAGCTCTATCAAGCTGGTGTCCTGAACACTAGACTTCATCTTCTCTGTGAAATTTTCTCTGGTTGCTCAACTCACCCTGCATGTTTTAACTGAGCAAATTTCATACTATTTTTTCCCACCATTTTCTGTGAGATACCACCTCCCATCTGTCAGAAAAGCTATAATAAAAAATCAACAATATAGGCATGGGGATGTAAAGTACAGCATAGGGAATATAGTTAACAATACTGTAATAACTATCTATGGTGCCAGGTTGGCACTTGAATAATCGGAGGGAACACCTAGTAACCTATATGAATAGCAATCTGCTGTGCTGTGCTCTATACCTGAAACTAATTAATTTAAAAAGTGTTGAGTGCTAACAGTAACCAAAAACAAACAAACAAAACCTGAAAGTGGCCCTGGCTGGTGTGGCTCAGTTGGTTGAGTGTCACCCTGTTCACCAAAAGTTTGCTGGTTCAATTCTCCATGGAGGCACATACCCAGGTTGTTGGCTCAATCCCCAGTAGGGGGTGTGCAGGAGGCAGTCAATGTTTCTCTCTTTCTAAAGAAAAAAAAAAAAAAGTCAATTAAAAAATATTTAAAAAACTGAAAGTGAAAAAAACGTAGCAAAAAACAAGTTAAACTGCATGCTACATAAGATAGGTCATTTACACCCAGATAGTGCAGTTGGCAACCTGGAAAAAGTGAAACCCAATGAGCAGTTTTCCTAGGGACCAAATAAATAAAATTGTATTGGCCCAAAATGGAGTGGGAGAGAGCTTAAGAGTAGCAGGTCTGCAACTGGTTCCCCCAACCAACACTTTTGCCTATCATCACAACCCATTGCTTGGGACAATTCTCAGAACCCTATCTCATGAGTGGGTTATGAAGAAAAGGAATGTGGAAAAACTCTGCCTTACCTGAGATGCCCTCCCACAGGATGTAGTGGTTTGTGGGTTGGGTCCCTCAATCTGGTCTCATACTTAATCTTTTTTTCACTCTGGCACCAGAAATATTATTTTTACATATCCTTCCTTTTCTTAATTAATTAATTAATTAATTAATTTTTGTTACAGATGTTTCTCCTTTTCACCCCTCCCTCTCCCTATCCACCCTGTCCCCAGCTTTGTTGTCCATGTCCATTGTTCATGCACACATGCATATAAGTTCTGTGGTTTATCTCTCCCCCACCCCCTCTTCTGAAGATTGTCAGTCTGTATCCCACTTCCACCTCTCTGGGACTACCCCATTCCTCAGACTGTTATGTTCATTATATTCCACAAATAAGTGAGATCATATGGTACTTGTCTTTCTCTGTTTGGCTTGTTTCGCTTAGGATAATACTTTCCAGGTCCCTCCATGTCGTCTCAAAAGATAAAAGATCTTTCTTACTTACAGCTGCATCGCAGGAGTTAGGAGGTTTTAAAAGGTCCTAGAGTAGGCACTCTACTTAGTGCAGTTAGTTGGATGCCTTAAAGGTGAACTTACTGTCTCATTCCCCTTCAGGCTCCAGAAGCTCTCCCTGTGCAGCTTACTCTGCAAACTGCTGGTTTGACACAGAGCCTATGGTAGTTGGCTGCTCCCGCAGCCCTGGGCCTCTCAGGCAAATCCAGAGGCAAAGGGGTGGCTTGTGGAAGAGGCTGCTACACCTTCTCCAGCACAACCAGTTTTTCTCTCTTGAGAATTTAAACTGAAAGGTACAAAAGTCTATTCCCTCAGAGATAAGTCATGTAAATGGCAGGAATCTATAGGTATAGCCCACAGGTTCCTGTGCCTATGGACTCTGGATTGGCCCTTGTTCTCCGTTTTCCTCCCCTCATCCCTTTTTGAATCTTCTAAAGTCCTTCAATTGCTTAAAATAATCCTAGTTTCTTAAACTAATTCTCCTTTTTTTTTTGCTAATGGTACATCGAATTGGTTTCTGCTACTTGCCATCCAAAGAAACTTACCTAATATGGACACAGCAATGTTACAAATTTTCCTCCAAGGTCACGTAGCTAGTAAGTGACCAGAGTTTTTAACCCTTGACTATCTGATTCCAAGTATAATGTCCTAGTTCTTATTCTATGTATACTGGTTAGTCTGGAGCTATGGGTAGAAGTTTTTGTCCCATACATTCTGAAAAATTAAAAATCCTCCTTAACATTCTGCTCCATCCTTTACTTCTTCTATCTTTCTCCTTAAGTCTGATAAAGTCTTTGTTTAAACATATTATTAAGAGGAGCTCAGAACTAGTCTGGGTTGGTCACAGGAGAACATGAAGAGAATAGAGAGGAAACCATCTTTATTGTTTTTCTTCTCTTCAAATCTTAGATTCACTAACATCAGAAGAGGTGTTAAATGTCCCAAGTTTATCAATTTGGTTTCTGCTGGCCCAGGCTCACAGAAGTAGAATTGGCTCTAGGAAAAATGAATTAAGCCTGTCCTGAGGTTTGTCTCTCCTCCTCCCAGAAGAGCCCCCATAATCATCAGGAAGTCCCCCACCGGTCCATCCAGGGGCCTAGAATGGGAACTTGTCCTTGGGTTTCCCAAACTCACCAAACACTTTCAGTGGGATGGTCCATGTATCTTCCAGTCCATCCTTCAACACCTTCAGGATGTAGGTGCTGCTGTCATTTTTATGGACATTATAGATGTAGAGCACGCCATCTTGATGATCAAACGTGACCCTGTTCTTAAATTTAGTTTTGAAGTAGTAAAGACTAGAGTTGTTGGACTCCCATTCCAAAATTTTCTGGTTCCTCGTGTAAAACCAGGTGAAACGTTGAGGGTTATCAGGCAGATCGGAGATTTTGAGACTCACGTTGCTGCCAGAGACTGCAAATACCATCTTTTCTGAATGACCTGTCAATGAAATATAGAGTGAGACCCATCTTAGAGATGGTAGAGATGGCAGAGATGCCCTGAGGTTCAGGCTTTGGCCTGGGAAGGTGGGTCAGGGAAGAAGAAAGGAATTTCTGCTTGCTGCCATGAATATGGTCTTTATCAGAGGGTCTGGACCCCTGATCAGGAATTCAACGAAAGTTGGAGATTGAGAAATGGGCTTGGGGACAGAGAATGTTGCTTACAATCCATCTAGCTCCACCTCAAATGATAAAGAAAAAGAACACTGGGGCTGGCCCAGTAGATTTTCAAACAAAGTAATGACAAGCCATTTCTTCTCTGGATTTGCATTCCCTAATGGTTCAATTAATTTCCCAGCAGTAGGTGGAGAGTGGAGGAAAAACAAAAGTGAATGGGAGACAGAGCTATTCAGTGGCAAAGTATTATAAAAGGATGAAGGCATTTTATTAAAAAAATTTTTTTTGCTATTTTCTTGGCTTTAGTGATACTGGTAGTATTTGTAAGCTTTTTAAAACTTGTGATACATTGGGATTTCTTTTTTTATTCTGAGAAAATTATTTTTGTATTTATTTGTATATACACTTTCGTTCTTTCTTTCATGAAGGTACCCAAAATTGTATATAAGCCACAGCTCTAAAATATCAGGTTTGGTTAAGTTGGAGAAAGAAACAATGATAGCTACAAGATGCAAGGTGAAGAGGTCTGTTGACTCTTTTTATGGATAGGGAGAACTAAATTCTGTGTGTGTGTGTGTGTGTGTGTGTGTGTGTGTGTGTGTATGTATTGCATATACATTTATGTATTGCATAACAATTCTTCAGTCCATGATGGACTTCATATATAGCAGTGGTCCTATAAGATTATAACAAAAAAAAATTCCTACTGACTATTGACATCACAGACATTTTAATGGTAGTACAACCCATTACTCATGTGTTTGTGGTGATGCTGGTGTAAACAAATCTACTGCACTGCTAGTCATTTAAAAGTATAGCACATACAACTATGTACAATACATAATTCTTGATAATGATAAATGATAGTTACTGGTTTATGTACTTATTATATTATATTTTCATTGTTATTTTAGAGTGTACTCTCTTTACTTATAAAAAGTTTCCTGTAAAATGATACGCTGTGTTACACTTCCAGCAGCCTCGTGGCATGTCTCTTGATTACATCATATTCCCTTCTGCTTAATTTAATCTTATGTTGTTTTATAAATTTAGTGTAACCTAAGTGTACAGTGTTTGTAAAGTCTACAATAGTGTACAGCAATGTCCTAGGCCTTTACACTCACTCACAACTCACTCGCTGACTTACCCAGAGCAACTTGCAGTCCTGTAAGCTTCATTCGTGGTAAGTGCCCTCTACAGGTGTAACATTTTTTTATCTTTTATACCATATTGTTATTCTGCCTTTTCTACATTTAGATATGTTTCAGTACAGGAACATGCTGTACAAGTGTGTAGCCTCGGAACAATGGGCTCTACCATCTAGGTTTGTATAAGTTTACTCCGTGATGTTTGCACAATGAGGAAATTGCCTAATGACACATTTCTCAACATGTTTTCACTGTTGTTACATAGCACATGACTGCATAGGCTGAGAAAGAGCAGCGGAAAAACCTTAACGGTAAAGGAAAGAGGGAATATAACCTATTTCACTCTGGTTTCATACACTATAATATAAAAACAGAATCATATTGTTCAACATTATATAATATACCTAGCTTTCATTTATTAATCCTTCTAACTATCCATCTATCCATTCAACAAACATTTATTAAACACCCTGTGCCTGAGGTATATACAGACACACTTAAGCATTCATTTACAGTGCTTCTGATTGGTCATTTTATACTTTATAATCTCTGTGACATAATCAATTCAGTCCAATACAGTATTTGGACAAATACTGTGTTCCTGGCACTGTGCTAAGCTCTTACATCAGCAATGCAGACAGAGTCTGTGGCTTCTTTGAGCATATAACATAGCTGGACATTCTCTATAGGATTTAAAATTATCATACATGTATTCTACACTTGTTCTCATTTTATTAATTGTTTCCATGTGGATTAATATAAGTGGTGACAATAGATAGCCTAGATCAGTGTTTATCAATGTTGGCACTATTGACTATTTGGTCAAGACAATTCTTTGATGTAGGGGGTTGTCCGTGTGCATTGTAGGATGTTTAGAAGCATCCCTGGCCTCTGCCCACTAGATGCCACTAGCATCAGGATTCTTAGGATATATTTTTAGAAGTGAAATTGTTGGGTCAAATGGCAGGTCCATGTTTAATTTTTTGAGGAAATTTCATACTATTTTCCATAGTGGCTGCACCAGTCTGCATTCCCACTAGCAGTGTACTAGGGTTCCCTTTTCTTCATATCCTCACCACACTTGTTTAGTGATTTATTGATGAAAGCCATTTTGTCAGGTGTGAGGTGATACTTCATTGCCATTTTAATTTGCATCTCTCTGACAATTACACTTTGTGACAGCAAGAGTGGACATGGATATTATTATGCTAAATGAAGTAAGCCAGGGATCCCACTTCTGAGAATATATCCTAGGAGTCCCAAAACATCAATCAGAAGAAATATATGCACCTCAGTGTTTACAGCAATGCTATTTACAATTGCTAAGATTTGGAAACAGTTCAAGTGCCCATAAGTAGATGAGTGGATAAAAAAATTGTGAAAAGAAAAGATTTCTTACCCTTGGGAAAACATGGATGAACTGTTTGGTTTTTGTTTTTGTTTTTTTTTTTTTGAAGTGAACATACCCTCAAGATTTTATTGTCACATAATAAAACAAAATATGACGTTTAGAACTGGATCATTTGGCCCTTACTCTTCTTATCTCCTTTCAGTTCAAAATGCTTGCATCTCTTAATAGCCAGCATTCTCTTAGATCTGCAGTAGGACTCAAGGCATTCAAGCCTCAGCACAATCTTCTTTGTAGTTTTAGCCTTTTGTGGAAAATCAGCTTAGTCTGCCCACCATAGCCACTCTGCTTCCTGTCATAACTCTGCTTTCCCTGCGCATACAGAGAATCCTTACCCTTGTTGTACTGTGTTACTTTGTGGGGTTGATGCTTGCCCCACTTTTTACAGAGAGTCCAGCATGTTTTAGAAACATTCACCCTGTTTTACATGAGTGCTGTCAGCACAGAAAGTGAACTGTGCTTTATAAAATATGATAATATGCTCAAAATGGGACAGTGGAGCCCTATCTTATGGCTGGGTCCTAAATAAATGAATAAAATATCACTATTATGACATAAAAAGCAGAACAACACTGGAGGAGATTCCCAAGAATTCTCAAAAGAAATAATGGAGAGTGGAGATATATCCCCAGCAACAGAGGCTGGGGTGAAGACTTCCATCCTCAGGCAACAGAAGCACAGACCAGCAACTGAGACCCATCCCCAAAAACTACACCAAAAGCTGAGCAGGAGTTGAGCCCCACAGGGCAGCAGCACTCCCCAGCCGCCACTGGCGGGACCTGGGGCTCCACAGAGGCCTGTGCAATCCAGCAGCTCGCAAGAGCAATGAAAAACGGGAGCCAGAGACAGACTGGTGTGATCCACCTACCTGCCCGCAGGACCTGCAGGGTGTAGGGGCACCAGAGAGGCCTGTGTGACCCAGCAGGGACTGTGCAATCTAGTTACCCTCAGGACCTGCTGGGTGCTGCAGCACCAGAGAGGCCTGTGCGACCCAGCAGCTCATAACATAGGCATAGAGCCTGGTCCCCAAAGGGACTGTGCGATCCAGTTACCCGCAGGACCTGCAGGGTGCAGGGGCACCAGAGAGGCCTGTGCAACATGGCTGCACACAAGATAGGCATAGAGGATGTGAAAATGGGGGCGGAGTGAATGGAAGCTACACAGACGATTTCCCAGGACCAAACAGGAATTACAACTAAAATAAAGACAAATCCTCAGAAAAAAGCAACAGAAAAGCAGCAGGACAGGATAATATTACCACGGACACTGTTAAGATCTGTGAAGGTGTGAGAGGGTGGCAGGCTGGGAGCCCAGGGACAGCAGCAGTCTTAGCTGTGAGCAGCGCCCTTGGGAAATAAAGACCAAGCCTGCTCCACAGTGCAGAGAGCAGGGACAGAGCCCCCAAATAGCCACAGCCACTCACCTGGGGGCTACAGCAGAGAGAGGGAAGACTGGGCTGGAACACTGTGAGGATAACCGGGATTTGAAGGGCACTCAGAGTTTTTGCTGAGTTGCGGCCACAAAGGACAGTGGCCATTGTGCTCCTTCCCAGAGCTGTGGGGAAAAATAGCAGCCCCCTGCCCCAGAGATTCAGCCTTTCCCAGGTGAGGCAAAGAAATGTAACTTGAGGCTCATTAACAACCACCACATATCCCACCCTCTGGAAATCCTCTTATGTAGAACACCAGGGCTCTGAGTAACTGAGTAACATTCCAAGGCCCTGAGTAACTGAGAATACTAGCTTCCAGGAAAAGCTACAGGATAACGAAACCTTTCCTGGGCTTGAAAATTTACCCAGGAAAGTAAGACTTGACAGTGGTTTTTAAAATGGGCCCACCCAGGTCCATCCAAATCCAGTAGAGGGAGCCACAAACAGCAGAACACCAACAGACACAGGAAAAATTTGGCAGGCTCCAAATCCTACTGAGATAGCCAAAACAATGAAACAAACAAACAAACAAACAAACAAACAAAACCAAAAATGAAAGAACAAGAGTACACTATTAAAGATGAGATAAATGAAATGCAGTTACGCAAATTATCAGAGGTAGAGTTCAGAGCCATGATCTTGAGAGAGCTCAACAGCATGAGTAAGGACATCAGCGCCATGAGTAAAGATACGGAAAAATTGAAAACCAAACAAGTGGAAATGAAGAATAATACAGCAGAAATAAAGAACACATTGGAAGGACTAACAAACAGAGTAGAAGAAGCTGAGGACCAGATCAGTAAATTAGAAGACAGGGTAGAAAAAAATCAACCAATCAGAAAAAAAAAAAAAAAGTAGAAAACAGGAAGATACCTTAAGAGAACTGTGGGACAACTGAAAACATAATAACATTTGCATCATGGGAGTTCCCGGAGAGGAAGAAAATGGGCAAGGGTTAGATAATATATTTAAAGAAATAGTGACAGAAAACTTTCCTAATTGGTGAAGGAAGAAGGCATTCAAGTGCAAGCAGCACAGAAAGCCCCAAGTAAGAAGAACACACACAGGCCCACACCAAGACACATAGTAATTCAAATGCCAAAAATTAAAGACAAAGAGAGAATCCTAAAGGCAGCAAGAGATAAGCAACAGGTTACCTACAAAGGAAACCCCACAAGGCTCTCAGCTGACTTCTAGACACAAACACTACAGTCCAGAAGGGAGTGGCATGAAGTAATCAAGGTCATGAAAAACAAGGTTCTGAATCCAAGACTACTCTATCCAGCAAGGCAATCATTCAAAACAGAAGGTCAAATAAAGAGCTTCCCAGACAAAAAAAGACTAAGGGAATAGATTAACACCAAACCAGCACTGCAAAATATGCTAAAAGGACTGCTGAAATTAGTAGAAGAAATAGGAAGAAAAATAGGACCACACTAAACAAAAATGGCAAGAAATAAGTACATATTAATTATCACTTTAAATGTGAATGGTTTGAATGCTCTGATAAAAAGACACAGAGTAGCTGACTGGATAAGAAAGCATGACTCACATATATGTTTTTTAACAAAAGACCCACCTCACAACAAAAGACTCACATAGGTTGAAAGTGAAGGGATACAAAAAAATTTTTCAAGCCAATGGAAAGAAAAAAAAGCTGGGGTAGCAATACTCATATCTGATGAAGTAGATTTCAAAATAAAGGCCATAACTAGAGACAAAGAAGACCACTACATAATATTGAAAGGATCTATCCAACAGGAAGAAATAACCTTGGTAAACATATATGCACCCAATATAAGAGCACCGACATATATTAAAAATCTTTTGGAGGACTTCAAAGGAGAAATCAACAGCAATACAAACATAGCAGGGGACTTCAACACCCTGCTGACATCACTGGATGCCCTAGATCAAATGGATTTAATAGATATCTACAGAGAATTACACCCCAAAACTGCAGAATTCACATTCTTCTCAAATGCACATGGGACATACTCAAAGATAGAGTACATGTTAGGGCACAAACTAAGTCTCTACAAGTTCAAGAAGATTGAAATCATATCAAGAATCTTCTCAGATCACAATGGCATGAAACTAGAAATCAATTGCAAGAAGAACATGCAAAGATATTTGAAAACATGGAGGCTAAATAGCATGATATTAAACAATGAATGGGTTACCATGGAGATCAAGGAAGAAATTATAAACTTTCTGGAAACCAATGAAAATGAATACACAACAACACAAAATCTATGGGATGCAGCGAAAGCAGTTCTGAGAGGGAAGTGCATAGCACTACAGGCCTACTTGAAGAAACAAGAAAATTTTTTTTTTTTTTATCCTCACCCGAGGACATTTTTCCATTTTTTGTTCATGTAGAGTGGGAGGGAGAGAGAGGAACAGAGAGAGAGAGAGAAACATCGATGTGAAAGAAACACATCGAGTGGCTGCCACCCACACGACTGACCAGAGCCGGGGACAAACTGCAACCAACG